TTCTCCAGTCGGCGTCCCCACTCCCCATCACACACACAAACACAAACACACCACCCCTACGAACGGATACATGTTAGGTTGAGCTTCCTGCCCCGGGTGACAAGCAGAGTTGGCCGCAGATCTGGTTTGCTCGCGTCTGGGGCTTGTTCAGCCTTTTTTGAGGAATACAAATATAGCTAAGGCAGGACCACAGGTGGAGTAATCTGGACCTCTATTAAAATGACAAGAATGGCCTCAGGTGAACTTTTTGTTGCAGAGATTTAATTGCAAGTATGTGCCCGTTTAAAATGGGAGTGTAAGGAAAACCACTAATATCCTTGGCACATGTGCTGTTGCAATTGACCTTCTAGAGTGGTATGGGATTTGAGTGAACCAAGAGGCTTTTTAGTGAAGATTATATGTGATGTTAAAGGAGTCGATAAGATTCTGGGACCTGGGACCAGCTACATGAACGTGTGTGCATATTTACATTGAATTATGTGACATTTTAGATTTAGCAGTATGAAATGGTTGCCTACTTTGTGCTGGGTACATCCTGATTTTGTCTTTAGGAGCCTTCCAGAAAGCATGTTAAAAAGAATAAGAGTAATTTGTCGTTTTTAAATTAAGGTACTTAACTAGTAAACAAATTTGTGTAATTATGGTAAGTTACTGACTCATTTATAGGGGCAAGCTACTTTGGGAGCATTTGTAAAAAGATTTCATATCTATGTCTCAATTGCATTACCCTTGCACTCTAACTCGTTTTCTTTTACTTAAATTGTTAAGAGATTAATTTTACTGAGGGAGGACAAGGGAAAACAGAGGTCACGTTAGCTACATTTAATTCATTTCTCTGAAGATAAGAGTTCAGTCTGTACTAATTTAAAGTTGACATAAAGTGCTGGCATGTTGGTAAAATTTCTTTCAAAGAAAAAATAGTAGTGTATGTATTTTAAATATTGAACATAATTTTAGGAGTTCTGGAAGTATTTGGATATGAGTCATGGTATGTTGCAGTCTTTACATGTAATAGGAAATGTTTGGTAAACACACAATTCTAAAACCTAGATACAGGGTAATGTCTAACTTCTAAAGTTTGTGAGGCTTCCCAAAATAATCTCCCATGCTTTTGTCACATGTTAGCCTACAGGTAGTTAGCTGGTTAATCTCCTATCTTAGAGCAGTGGGTTAGCAGTACTGGGCAGCACACATATATGTCATCATGAAAGAAGCAGCATTTCTGCTAAGGGAAGAAATCAGGTAAAAATATGAAAACCCAGCACAAGAGAACAAACTCTATAAACTGCATTTGTAGAATGCTAGGCAATAATCATATAAGAACCTTAGTTATATGTAAACTGCTTAGAATAGAGCTTGTACTCAGTAAGTGCTTGATGTATTTACCATCATTGGTATAGGAAATTACATTTTTTAAAATGACATCTTTTTGAAGATAGTTACTATCATGCTACCCAGCATTGAAGACAGCAAATATTTGTAATAGCCAATATTTATTTGTTTTACATCTGTGCCAGGCACTATTCTAAGGGTTTTACATGATTTAATTTACTTAATCCTCCCAACAACCCAGTGATTAAACAGAGGCATGGAGAGGTTAAGTACCTTGCTGTTTCGGAACCTTGTCTGGCTCAAGAGTAAGCCCATGTAACAACTGGGCCCTGCTGCTATTTCACTAGTGGTCATGGAAATCAATGAAAAGGTCTTGACAGTAGTGCCAAGATTACTATCTTCACTTGTCCTTTTCATCCCCATACTCTTATATTAATAACATCACCAGGTTGTGCTTAAATCTGAAGGTTAGTGATTAATCTGCAGTAAATTTAGTCCCTTTTTGACTTTAGAAGAGAATTCTTTTTTTTTTTTTTTAATTTTTTTTAGTTTTCAGCAGACACCATATCTTTGTTTGTATGTGGTGCTGAGGATGGAACCCGGGCCGCACACACGCCAGGTGAGCACGCTACCGCTTGAGCCACATTCCCAGCCCCAAGAAGAGAATTCTTTTGATACATACAACATGTGTTTAGCTACCATGCTTGAGTTTGGGCTAGAGTATGCTTTTTTATTTTTTTTTTTAATTTTTTTAGTTGTAGATGGAAACAATATCCTTATTTTTATTTATTTATTTTATGTGGTGCTGAGGATTGAACCCAGGGCCCCACGCAAGTGCGGTAAGCACTCTACTTACTGAACTATCACCCCAGCCAGAGTATACTATCTTTTTTTTTTAAAATATGTTTTTAGATGTGTAGACCTTTATTTTATTCATTTACTTATATGTGATGCTGAGAATCGAACCCAGTGCCTCACACATGCTAGGCAAGTGCTCTACCACTGAGCCCCAGCCCCTGTACTATCTTTTAATTTTTAAAGATATTAAGTTGTTTTTTTTTTTTTTTTTTTTTAACTTAGGTGTATAGGACTCCAAACGGCCCGGGGGGGGGGGCACTAATGCCTGTTGGTTCTGCATTAAATTAATAGGTCCAGTCTTCCTTCTGATTACCAAGACCATATGGACCTGAGGTGAATTTTAACTTAAATTTGCTCTAAGTACCACCTGAATTACTTCCTAAACTAAATGTGACTAAATGAAAAGATGTAACTTGTGGCTTACACTTTGTCACTCACATTTCTCATGGTACTGAGTTTTGCTGCTTCACCATTTTAGTTGATTTATCAAGCAAATTTAACAAATTCAGAGCTATTTTGTTATGTTTAGAATTATTGTAGATACCTGATATCTATTGCTAACAATATAGAGTGAAATGTAATAAAAGAGAAAAATGCCTAAAAACACATTGAATAAAAAATGCATAAGCTGTCTTGAAGTGTAGGTTGCTAATCTCTCACACTAAAAACTTTTTTGCTATAATTAATATTTAGTGCTGATTCACATTAGTTTGAAAATATTAATAAGTAGAGTTTGAATAATAAAACTAAATGTCTAATCAACAATGTTCCTCTTTTAAATGTGAACTTATTTTAAATTACTGAAAGCTAATTTGAAATTAATTGTTCATACAGACCCTGTCATGCATGTAACTGAGTTTCAAAATAAGTACCTTAATATTTTATTTCTTGTCTCTTATGATAATGCTTTATCATTTGAACTTAGGGTTCATGCCACAGTGTTTATAGGTAAAACTTTATGAGGTCTTTCAGGTTCTGCCAGAGATTAAATTCTGTTGACCAAAAGCCAAGACAATCTCAAAGTTTTATTATTATGGGTTGGATTTATCAAGAATCCTCTCTCTAATATTCAAGATAAAAGTCTTTCAATGACTATGGCTTGAAAGGAAAAAGTTTCTCTTAGATGAATACAGCCCACCTCTGTCCTCTATCCACAGTTTTGCTTTCTGCAGTTTTAGCTACCATGGTCAACTTCACACCAAAAATATTAAATAGGAAATTCTAGAAATAAATAATTCATACGTTTTAAATAACTCTTATTACAGTATATAGTTATATTTGTTTTATTTTAGTATTAGTTATTATTCTCTAGTGTATAAGTTAAACTTTATTCTATGTATATATAGGAAAAAACAGTACACATAGAGTTTGGTTGGTATTATCAGCCACTTCAGGTATACACTGGGGTCTTGGAATGTAACCCCTTGCATAAGGAGGAACTACTGTAATTATTATTTTTCTCTAGCAGTAGCTAGCTAATTATGGATACTTGCATATTTGGCTCTATGTATGTGTGACTGTAGAACTTGGGGGATTATGTTCCTTTCAGGTAAATTAAAAGTAATTTATCTGGCCTTCATTCAGCAAATATCTACTAAGTACCAACAATTTTTTTCAAAAGTATTGAAGAAGAAAAAGTTTTGTGGGCTTTTAGTTTATTTCTTATGTGTTTTAATAATATTGCTTTTTATAGCTGATCAAGTCTCAGGGAGGTTCAAAATTAAATTACTTGTGCAGTTGAAAAGATATTTGAATGAAATACCATTTAACTTAGATGGTAGCATAGATAATAAGAATCAGAATCTTTTGTTTCCCTATACTATTTTTGGTTGAATGTTTGAAAAGCTGTATTAATGATCTCTTTCAGTCTTCTAGGACATTACTTACTACTATTAATGAAGAGAAGCCTAGAAACCTCAAAGAATCAATATGACTTTCAGAATTGTCTGTCATAGTCCAAATAGTACCAGGATCACCAAAAGGTTTAAAATGGCTGAAACCTATCTTTAACTTTATAAAGCTTACAGTTCTTACAAGTTTGCTTCTTGAGAAGATAGTATAGACTAGTCTTAACTATGCTAAAAACTGAACAGTTATTATATAAGATATATATAGACTTCAGCATATGGTTTTATCTTTTTGATGAGGTTATATATAAATCGAGCATTTACCTGATGTCACACAGATCCATATTGCCAGCATTTACCTGATGTCACACAGATCCATATTGCCGAAAGTATACCATTATACTTTTTCAAAGTTGATTTTAAAGCTTAGTCAGAAGCACTAGGCTCACTGATAGAAGATGAACTTTGAAACTTCTTTGTTTCAAATTCCCTGAAACAGGCCTGAGGATAATTGGTGTATAGGTAGTACATTAGCTAGCATTTAAGATTGCTGCTTCTTCAAACAGGACTTCAGTTTGAATCTCAGGTTATGATGCTCATTTTTTTTTTTTTTTTTTGCAGTGGCTATACCTAGTGTTTCCCACAACCAGCCAAGGGATAAAGTACTTTTGAGAAATTTATGGATAATAACATAATATCTTTCAAACCAGTGTCTCAAAAAGTATAATTAATATATAGATAATTATGATTAAATAATCTTAATGCTCACATTATAGTTTAAGGCAAATAGATATCAAGGCAAGCATTGGATTAGGCAAGATCAAAACCTAACTGCTGGTAACAAACATGAAATCATTATTACTTTTAACTCTCATCCCCTTTAAAATTTACCTTGTAGTCTTCCACTCCCCACCACCAGTGATGTACTACTTCTGTGGATGGCAGGGGAAAAGATAGTGCAGGTGTGAGTTAACTTGTTTTAATTCAGTTCCCATGGCTGTTTGTTGATTCCCTGCTAGGGAGTTGGAATCCAACAGTGTAGAAAGCAGTCAGGTTAGAGAAGTGCTGAATTTTTCAGTATCCGGGGGCCTTGGTTTATGTCTTTAATTCATCACCATCAGCATGTTTCTATGATGTTCTACCACAGTGGCTCAGTTCATCCTGTTCAAGGTCAGCATTTCCTTTTTCCTTTTCCATACAGTTGTCTCATCCTGTCATTTTTTGATCTGCTGGAATGACTAAATGCCATAGCAAAAAATAAAAAAAGAGGGGCGGTTTACTCAGCTTCCTCATGGAGAAGATAATTGGGCTCATTTCGTAGATCTAAAGAAGTATTTTTGGGCTCAGGGCCTCCCTAGGGACTTTTAAAAACATTCTCCTTTTAATCCTTCAGAAATTAGAGCCAGCAACTGCCACCCTAATTATCTTATCTACTCTCATTTGCCCTTATTAGTCCATAAGAAAAAGATTCTATATGGTCAGCCTTTTAATATCTAGGCAGTGTTTGGGGAAGGACAATGGTGAGAGCTCAGGTGGAGTTGGGAATGATCCCAAGTGGCTTGGATGAGTAAAAGGTGTCTTTGCTGCTCAGGATTAGTGGCCTAGATGGGTGGTGGAAAGGGAAAAGAGATTGAAAATGAAGTTGATACATTGTTCTTATACCTTACTCCCACTTCCAACTTTTTTTTTTTTTTTGGTAACTTTAAAATGGTATCTTCCTCTTACTTTGTCTTTCTCTGATGACTCACCATAAGAACAATGTTGTCTCAGAGAAAGGGAGAATTTTTAAGGCAATTCATATCTGATTGCTGAAAAGTTGGCTTTTATTGGAAATTGCACTAGAAGGAATTTTCTTCCATCTCCACAATTGTTTGAATTTTAAATTTCAAAGAAAACTCTCTGAAACAGAAGATGAGGAACCTTATTCATCACCTAATATTTGGGAGTCATTCTGTATTAGAGTAAAATACATATTATAAGTGAATCAGAAATTTATATTGCTTTAAACATTTTTTTTTGTAAAACTAGATCTGCAGTGATTTTTGCATTAAAATGTTGAATCTGTTTATCAAAAATCATTTTTATATTTACTTTTTAGTTGTAATTGGACATAATATCTTTATTTTATTTATTTATCTTTATGTGGTGCTGAGGATCGAACCCAGGGCCTCGAATGTGCTAGGCGAGCCACAGCCCCAGCCCCTCAAAAATCATTTTGATCAGAATATTGAAAGTAGTACATCCTTCATTTGTCTAAGTGAATATTGATAATGATAAAATCTTAGTTCTGTAAATACTCTTTATCATTAGACACCTAATGAAAAATGTGTAGTGGATAAGGATCTGGTCACTAGCCACTGTGACTGCTATGGTAGAATGGAACAGGGAAGGAACCTTTTATTCATGAATAAAAGGTGTATTTATTTGACATCATAGAGGCTCTAAGAAGCTAATTACTTGATAATCATTGAGTTAGGTGATTTTATATTATATTTGATATCCTATAATAATCTGAACTTTCTTGGGTTCTTTTTAAGTGTCTAGCTTTTGCATCAGCTTTTGATGAATGCACTTCTGAAGGTATTGTGATTATCATTTAAGTGCTTTGAAGACAAAAATCCCTGCTTTTTATCACACCTGAATATTAGTGCATGCTTCTTATAGCTTGTTTAACTTGGGTTCAGAGGGAAGAGTGCCATCTACTGAATGACCAGCATCAAGTTGAGCAGCCCCTAAGTTTTCCTGTCAGAACTCTTAGCCAATTCCTGGTGAAACCAGGCCCAGCCTCATTTGGAGGATTTGAAAGAATCTTAGTACCAAGTGGAATTGTTGCCTGCTTAATTTTAATTATGTTTCCCAGCAGGAGGCCTAAACACATGATGAAGAACTAATTTAGCACTTGTTGGAATGCATGGGAAAGGAGAAACCTTAAGAAGTTGTTGGGACTTATATTAAAAACAGTCTAGCAATGATGAAATCATTATTAAATTAAGCAGTAAAGAAAATTATTTTAATGAGGCATTTTTCATTAGTAGGTCTGGCTATTTATGGCCGCAGACAATAATGCAGTAGTTGAATACTTTGTGTGTTTTTTTTTTCCTTCTTGCCCTTTTTCTTTGTCTAAGTTTCTAAGACAGTGATTCCTACTTGAGTGAATTCACTGTTTTAAATTGATTATGTTATTGTTTTGGTGTATGCTAGTAGTCTCCTGGGTTTTTGTTGTTTTCTTTTCCTGATTTCCAGAAAGTTCCTGTGGTAGTAGCCATGGATAGAGAACTAGACGTGATAAGACCAGATATAGTTGAGTGGAGTTTTAAGGTACTTGGAATAGGCCTGTCAGAGCCAGACAAGAAGGAACTTTGATAATATGAATTGAAAGGAAGATTTGAAATTATGACGAAGAATATCCTTGATTGTTATATATTTATTACTTAATATCTTTCTCAACCTTTCTCGGGTGCCTGGGTAGCTCATTGGTAGTAGAATGTTTGCCTAGCATGTACAAGGCCTTGGGTTCAATCACTACCAACACACAATGCACATCTTGCCAATGATCATGTTAAATACTATGTACGTTATCTGAAATTTGGTGAATAAACTTGCCTAAGATCATATGGTTAATAAATGGCATAGCCAAGATTTGAGCTCAGGACTTATGCCTTTAAACACTAGAATATATGGCCAGTTCTGTTAAGCTTATTCTTAGTGGTGACTGCACAGAAGAATTGAACCAAAATCAGAATATTTCTGCCTTCACTAGAAAAATTTTTTTTTCTTGAGGTAGGTGATCAAATAGATAAATAAGATTTCACTAGAATCAGGATATATATAGGAGATGGACTTTCAGTGTTTTCTGTTTGATTTTTCTATATTATTTGTTTCTTTTGCTCTTTTTATTAACTTAAAACACAAGAAAAGTTTATTGATCCATGAAGTGAATTGCTTCACATGCCACAGGCTTTGTTCTTAAAATATACTACTTCCTAAAGGAGAGGTTGAGTTACTTGGAACATTTTTTGCTGGGTTTATTTTTTGCAGGGAGTGGAAATTTGGAATTTTTAGTTGTCTTTCTATATTTGGCTTACTCCTAAATATTTTTAAAGGTAATAGTTGCAATGTAGAAATAATATCCTATGTCCACAGCAAAATAAAATTCAACCCTGTGCCAGTCTGAGGTCTACAGGAACCTCAATTTCTTGTATATACCAAGTATGCTCTGTAAGCTAAGTAACATACCTCTTGTATATGTATTAATACTTGATTGAATTGGTGTATCTTTTCAATTAAGATATTTAATATCTGGCTGCTATTGAGTGACATTCCTACTTCAACATATTTTGACCTTAAAAGATATCCTTAAAAGTGTACAATATTAGGAATAATTTTTTGGTATGACTAAAAGCTTGTAAAATTATAGTTCAGTACTGTTGTGTATTCTTCTCTTTCATATGTAAGGGGATTATACTTTATCATATAATATCATATAATACATAACTCCTTGGGATTTTGACTTTCCTTTCCTGTCAAACATAGGAAAGGAAAACTAAAACCCACAATACAAAAGATGTTACATGCCGGTGTGTTATAAAAGCCAAATGACAGGTACAGAAAACAAATGCAATATATCAACTGACCAAGTAAAGAGTATCAAAGATGGAATGGTCAGAATAGGCCTCCCAGAAAAGAAGAACAAGGGTGGACCTTGAAGGGAGGTTAGAGTTTCACTAGATAGAGTATGGAAAGGATTTTGGTGAGAAATCACTGCCCATGAAAATAACTTTTATTTTTCCTATAGCAAAATGGGAAAAATAGTTTATAATAGCAATGCACACTCTCTTTCCACTGTCAGGCACTTGGAGGTTAAAATGTACATTTTTTTCTGTAATAGTGACAGGAAGTGTATTAAAATATGGTGGGAGGGAGAGGTTGGTGGAATGGTGGTCAGGATTGTGTAGACTTTAACAGTGCTCTCACTAAACTGCACATGAAAATGTGTGGTTTGTAGGGATATTCTTATAAAGCTTTGTTGAAACTGATAATGCTTAGGAGAATTAGAATTAAGACTTTAGGACTCATCATTTCTAACACTAGACAAGGAAAGTCTCCTCTGGGGAAGAATTTTTTGTAAATCTATTTGCCTATTATTTACTTTGCTGAGTTTAGGTCTGTCAGTGTCTTTTATAGTTTCTAAAACTAATATGTAGATGATGAATTTATGAATTAAGTTGTTGAAATTATGAGATATAACCATTTTTTATTTAAAGTTTTCATAAAATAATACTGTTTTCAAATTTTCAAGAATTTGTTTCAGGGCTGGGGATGTGGCTCAAGCGGTAGCGCGCTAAAAAAAAAAAATATTAAAATTCATTCTCTCCCTCCCTCCCTCCCTCCCCCCCCCTCCTCTAAAAAAAAAAAAAAGAATTTGTTTCAAAGTGAATTGTGAAATTCAAACTTGGTCACATTCATTGTTTACTATTTAAAAAATACTTATACTATTCAAGACATTTTGATCAAGTAACTTTCTTTTATATTTTAGTTTGCTGTATATAAAATATGTGAGAGGTTGTGAAACATTATATTTAAGATTAATTTCAGCTTGAAGGTGCTTGTACTTCCAAAGAAGGTGAATTTCACCAGCTAGTTGTTTTGGTCACAAGATGGCCTGGACACTTAGATTGAACAGTGTGAAGAATCTGGAAATGGGTCTAATAGAAGGCAAATGTCATGAAAGCCCTTGGCTCTATATATGTGGCAACTGAGAGAAGGACATCAGCACTCCAAGAACTTGTCAACTCCCAGTTTCATTTCTTCACAAGCTAAGGTCCCTTGGCAATGGAGAGATCCTTTCCAGAAATAATGAACCAGGATAGCAAGTATTGCTAAAGCAAACTGTAGAAACATTATGGCATAATTTTCCAGAAATGGTGTTTTTTACTCCCATACTGACTTTATTTATTATGTTTAGTAATGTTATTTCCTCAAAAATATTTCTCTGATTTCTGTTTATCTCTCTTGTTTTTTGTTTTTTTTTGAGCAACAACTTGATTCTTTCATTTGCTCATTTGTTCATTTAACAAATACTCATCAAGCATTTATGTGCCAGGTTGTGTTCTAAGTGCTGAGAATTCAGTAATAAGCAAAGTAGACAAACCTTCTGCCCTAATGGATTTTATATTTTTAGTAGTAGATAGAAATAAGTAAGTGAAGTATATGTTACATTGAAGTATATGTTACATTG